TTTCATTGTGCCATGGGTATGAGCTGTGAATTGCTATTATTAATGAGTAGGAATATTGAAAAGTTCAACCTAAAAACACCACTTTAAAAATATTTGCATGTTTTTCACATGTGTCTGTTTCTTATTTCCAGGATTACCCATCTCTTCTTGTCAGAGAGTGCTAGCCTTGTTGCTTCCATTCTTTTTGCTGTCCATCCCATTCACACTGAAGCAGTAAGTTTATGGAAAACATGTTGAAATGAAATTCACTACCTATTATGTGTTGACTAAAACAAAATGCAGCTATGTTGAGATTATTCCATTTAATATGTATTTTGAAATAACTTGTAACAAATTCATGAGCTTATTCATCTATATATCTAACTTGTAATTATATATTTTAATAAATTATTATGTAACGGTACACACATAAGACAAATTAAGTTAAAAGTTAACAGAGTAATTTTTGACGTAATGATTGTTTGGATAACTTATCTTAAATGAGAAACCCTATAACTAAAAACACATCCATATTTGATATTTATGAGCACATAGTGGAAGTCCTGGAAAGAACTTTTAGAATGAAAGATATGTATTTACCAGAAAGTCCTAAGTCACAATACTTTCCATATTACCTTTTCTTATACAATTTGTCTGTCGAACTTTCTTAATTTTTGTGATCAAGAGGGCTTGCAGAAAATAACATCCATTATTATTTCATGATAACTTTTGGCTCCACTAAAGTAAAGTAAAAATTACTTTGTTTATTTTTTCACCCTGTATTTTTTACTGTATTTATATCAGTAACTATTACCCTGCTTTTTTATGTAGGTTACTGGAGTGGTGGGAAGGGCAGAGATCCTGTCTTCTGTGTTCTTTCTTCTTGCTTTTTCTTCGTATATCAAAGCTACAAGAAAGCCACGGCACACGGGTATGTTTTAAACCTCAAATTATCTACTTGCTTTTATACCATTCACTACCAATAGGGTCTACTTATTGCATCAAATTGATTATGTTCTTGTTTATGCCCGTTAAAACACATATTGTACAGACTGAAAAATTGGGTGAAATCACTAATTTTCTATGCAAAATACATGGTGTAACTAAACAGAAATTAGTGTAATTAATTGCATTTTTTATGGTATTTTTGTATATTTTTTGTCTTGACTCATGTCTTATAAGGGGCCTTGTAAACAACAAAGTCACAAATCAACAAACTATTTGAAGTATAAACAGTTTTGAAATTGGAAAAATTTGTTAAAAAGTTCATGGGCTTCTATTAGAAATGGTGATAAATTATGCAAAGGTGATAGGTAAAATTAGATAATACAACAGAGAATGTAATGAAATTTGATATGACTTAGTAATTTAAGTGTTTATCATAAATAATATCAATGTTATTTACATGTAAAAGGAATTAAGTATAGTTAATATGAATACATGCGTAATCCTGATGTTGTCTTTCATCAGTTTTAACAAGGTGATCCATATCAATAATTTGAGACTGGATGTGGGTTAGTGGTTAACATGCCTGGATTGTGATTGAAAATTTTTGGGTAATATCTGTTTCTACATAAACATGTTTCACACTTTGGGGCAGTGAGTTATGGTCAACACCCACTATTTAGTTAGATGCATGTTATTAATTATTTTTTTAAAATTGACAGTGGGTGCTTCCTTCTACATTCTTAGTTTAGAATCAGAGATGGTCACATGTGCAGATAGTCCTTTGTGTAGCTTTGTGCAAAAATTCTAAAACAAACAAATGAAATTTATAACACAAACTTTAGTACTACCCTTAAAGCAGGTTGTAATATTTAAATTCATCAAAGCAGGAAAGTTATTTCAACAGTTGCTGTGATATTGGTTTTAGAAATATAAACTAAGTTAAAGTATTAAATATTATTATATAAATAGAAATACTTAGGTTTTACTGTAATTTGTTGCATCTCCTGGATGTATGCTATTTTTACAAAACTCATATATATACATAAAATTTTATGAAGTGATGGCTTTATGACCATTGCTTTGGAAAAACCAGAATATTTATTATTTGATCATATAGATGTGATGTTACTCTTGGTACTTGCATTTGGTATTTTACAAAAGATGTATGTAATTTCACTAGATATAGCAGAAATAGTTCACATATTATACATGATTCTTTACATTCACTCATAAGTTCTTAGAATTTTAAAAGCTTTTCATGTCATTACTTCTTAATGACAAACACTCCATGCTTCTGACAACATTTTTAATCCTTCTATTATATGTATCTAGTTTTTAAAAGTGTAACCAACTGACACATCCTGCCTTTAGCATTAGTGTTTATAAATTTATGTACTGCCTTTGTTATGTGTTCCTCTTTTTTTGTTATTGTTAGTATGAAATATAATTTTTCAAATTCACAGATTGGTCTCCACTTCTACAGTCTGTAATTTTTGTGACAGTGGCTACACTTTCTAAGGAGCAAGGAATAACAGTTGTGGGACTGTGTGGTGTATATGAAGTTTTTGTTGTGCAGAAGGTATGATTTGCAATAAATTAATGAAAAATTTTACTTAGGTTAAGATATAATTTGTTTGCCTTTCTTAAAAATAAATATTATGAGCAATGTATTTGTTATTTTCCCTCTTTTTGTAAGTATTACTGAAAAGATTTTTTGAATTAATACATCTTTTAAGTACTTTACTAAAGAAAATGAAGTATACCTAAAAACATGCTGAAAATACAGAAAAGATTAGGTTAAGAATAACAAACTTTAAATTTATTAAGTAAACTCATTTACATAATTGTATAATTAAAATGAAACAGAATAAGCTTTGTGTTATTGTTCATTTGAGTAATCAAGTTTGAGTTTAAAAACCTGATTGTGTTAATATAGTTGCTTTTAAAATGGTTCTTAATTTACCTAAATATTTATAGACTTTCAAAAACTAAACCACAAAGTCAAAACCAATAATGGACAAAAATGTTACTTTTGTTTAATAGGTTTCAGAGTGTTTTAAGTTATTCTGTAATGTGTAATTCTTGTAACTTTTTTTTAATATGTTCTATGCTTACTGCTTTCATCCATGTGTATTAGTACTGTTTTAGTCTGTTGGTATTGCAGTATAGTAGTAATTACTCCTAGTTTTTGTAATTAAATCAAAAATAATATTAATAATATTAACTATCTGTTATGATAGAAACTATTATGTTTATATGATTATCGACAATAAAATTGGTAATGGTGTTAATTCAGCTTAATTACTCCATTTATTTTGGTATTATTATATTTCTCAGTTTTAATGTTTATAAGAAGAAAACATTTTCCTTTTATCTTAACTTTTAATGGAATATGAAGTTTTCTTAAGTAATTTTCATGTGTATAATGTTATTATAAGGCTAGTAATGAGCACCAAGGAATATACATAAAAAAATGATAAAGGTTTTGTTTAATTATAGTGAAGGATAAAAGAAATTATCATGTGTCTTAAGTATTAAAAATTTAATTTGTTTCTGCTACGAATGATAAAGAAAAATAAGATAGATAACACAGGTTATGATTAGGTAGTAGAAATTAATGGATGCAATGTTACACTCCTGGGGAACCATACATTTTTCAACCAAGCACAAATATGTGCTCATTATGTGATGTATCACAATTGATGGTGTAAAATGATTTTTTTGTGTGTTGCGGAGGAAAGATAAACTCCATATTATGTTTAGAGAAGTTCTTTCAATAAAAAGAAAACAGCTTTTTAGACTCTGATTAAGATTGATAATTAGTAAAGTTCTGTGTAATGTATGAATCGATTTAGATCTTAAGTATATAATTTTTTTATGAACATAACTTTAATTAGCACCCATGTACTTATGTTTTCTCCTACAATAAAAAAAAACAACTAAAGTAATTTATGTATAAAATATCCTGTTTAAATTTATGGAATGATCTTTCTTTTTTTCCAAAATTTTTGTGTCAGCGTTTCATAGATATTATGTGATTAATACATTATGCATCATAACTAAAATAAAATGTCTTTAAAGAATATTTGTTTAAAGACTAAGTAATGTATCCAACAGAAACAAATCCTGGTCACATGTTGTAGAGTAAAGTAAAATATAAAAAAATGTATATTTTTCCATCATTTTCTACTTTAGATTCACATTAACTACAACTACTTATATGCAAATAAATTATGTTTGTCTTTACAGTAAACTCAAAGTTCACATAAAGAGCCTCAGTTCTTATCATATTTTGTACACTGACATTCCTGTAAGAGAAATACAACTAATTTATAAAAACTGGTATCAATTTAGTATAAATGTATATCCTGTCAGTAATATGATATGTGGAACAGTTTGCCCCTGAAGAAGAAAGGTCCACCTTTCGAAAGTGCTTGGGTTACAGGGTTTTTATTCATTTGGAACAAAATAATTCATGCATACATAGTGATACAGTATAAATGATTTCTTTCCAGTAAAATCTATTTTTATAAATCTTTATACATGTAAGTACAATATAATTAAATATTTTGAGAATGTTCAGCCCATTTTTCATGCCTATATATTTATAGACAGTTAAATTATGGCGTCTAAGCATTTACTTTGGTCAGCTTGGACACATACTTTAATTTCATACATGAAATATTTACTTTGCATTGCTTCCTTCATTTCCCTTGTAAACAGTTTCTGCTATGTTTAGTAATCTTTTTAATAGTTACTTATGTTTATTTACCACTAACATAGTACACTACTGCTCTTCAATAAAAAAAAAGACCACTCTAGTCAATGGTTTAGTGGGGCCAGAGGAGACTGGAATACTACTCCTTTATTCTTTGTGTGTGTGTGTGTGTGTTTGTGTGATTAATATAAGTACATGTAATTGTAAAATAAGTTATAGATATAGTATTTTCTTCAACTAAACTTGTATGGTTAACATATTGTTTTTGAAAGTATCAAAATTATTGTATGTTTAAATTATTACTTATAAATGTACACAAATAATATATATATATATATATATATATACATGTTTTATGGTGTTGAGATGCTATAAGTATACTACAGCTGATATATAAATTATACATTTATGACTCAGATATGGCCATTGGGTTTATATACATATCTGATAAGTGGTTGGTAATTACAAACAAATCAAATACTTAATATGCAGCCTAATTATGTACATGTAATCCAAGGGCAGGAAATTTATTAGGATTTAGTTGGTACTCCAACACAAAACATTTTACCTTTGCTTATAATATTGACAACTTTATTGCTGCTAATTGAAAACACTAAAAGAAATGCAACATTATATTATTTATGAAAATCTACATGTATAGGAAAGATTCAGTTATAAGGCACATGCACATATAAAAGTTTTTTGTACTAAAAGGTTATGTAATACATTATATATCAAGTTATGAAATTGTATTTTCTTTATGTATGTTACTGATAGTAGTTTAATTTCATTGGGAAACTGTTAGTTTATATGAGTTCTGTTTTTGTCCATTGAACTTTAACAAATGTTATTCTTAATAATATGATAATAGAATAAGCAGTGAGAAGTAAGTTTGTCTGATATTCTTAGCCCTTCAAAAATTTGTTTCAACAGTTTATGAAATTAATATTAATTATTACAATATTGATATATTTAAAGATTTTGTATTTTCAACAGTTTATGGAATTAATATTAATTTTTACAATATTGATATATTTAGAGATATTGTATTTTCAGGTCAGACTTCTAGACCTTCTTTACATTGGTCAGAATTTAATGGGTTCAAAGGCTCCACCTCCTGTATGGCTCAGAGAAATGATGCTGCGATTGACAGTTTTATTTCTTAGTTCTCTTGGTCTTTTGGTTGGAAGATTTCAAGTAATGGGTGCCCAGTTACCAGTTTTTACTAGGTTTGGATCTTTGAACTGTCTTAAAGTGTAAAAATATAGTATTAGCAAGAGTACATGTAGCTCAGTTTCAGTTGTATTTATTGCATAAGATATTATAAAATAGAACTAATTGTTATCCTTGTTTTTGTTGTATAAAAATATTTTTGTCATGTCTTATTAACAAATTTCACTAGCTTTTTTCTTATCTGTCATTTTTTGTCAAAAAGGGCTATAAGATATCTTATTATCCATTGCTTTTTTAAAGGCTATAACATATAACTTATATATCAACAAAACATTTTTAGATTCATACACAAAGATTAGTTTCCAAAATTATATTACCATCTAAAATGAATAGGAGAACAACTAAATACGAAATGTTTTATATTCACTTTATACTTGCAGTACATAATCATAAAGATACCTGCATTTTTTTCCTCTGTAAAAAATACTCCATTTTATTACTGATGGAAATTAACTTTAAAGTGATCACATTTAAACTTCATAATTTTGTCATTTGTGAACATTACTTGTTTATTTATCAAAATTGCTTCATTTAAAACTCGTGTGTTGTTGAATTTTTTAAATTGTAACCTCATCTATTTGACTTTACAATTAAGGTCTGTCATGCTACTTAAGTTTTCTAGTACTGTGTGTTTTGCCAAGTTTGTTGCTTAGATAATAATAATCATGAAACTAAATTTAGTACTTTTTACTAGTGAGTTTATAAATATATTTACCAAGTGTAGTGGTACAATGTATATTGTAATGAATTGTATCTCATTGAAATCTTACTAAAGAAAGTTTAGCCAGCTCTTTGTTATTCCTTTTATGTATTCACAAATATTTTGATAAATGGTTTGTCTGAGTATGGTGGAGGTGCTTGGTATAGTGCACAGCAATTTTATAAAAAAATCAACTTTTTATCTAACAGCTTTAGTGTAAAGGTTAATGGCATCATAGCAAGCATAGAAAAAGTTATAAACAATGTCTTCAGATATATAAATTAGTTTTTTCTCTTGCAATAACATTTAATGAAACTTTGTTTCAAAATTAACATTTTAACCTTTGTCCACTGGTGAATATTTATCCATAAAGTTTATTCGTTTCCTTAAAAGCTCACCAGTATGTTTATTAAATGTATAAAAAAAGAGAAGAACACTGTTTAACATCATTCTAACTTTCAATCAAAATAATAAATTGGTTTCATATGATATGAGATTACATGGATATCATTGGCCAATATTCTTCCCGAAAGTACAATTTCCTGATTGTAATATTGCATACATGCTTTTTCTTTGGATTCACAGATTTGACAACCCAGCAGCTGTAGTGGATACTCCTGCCCGACAGCTTACCTACAATTATTTATTGGCTGTTAATACATGGCTGGTTCTTTTTCCTTTCAACCTGTGTTGTGATTGGACAATGGGAACAATACCACTTGTTGAATCATTTATGGATCCTCGTAACATTGCCACTTTAGGGGTTTATCTAGCCCTTGTATTGTTAGTGTGGTCTGTGCTATATTCAGATGATGAACATGCTGAGATTCTTACTATGGTATGCTTGTTGAATATTTTAAAAGTAACTTTCTCTATAACTGTATTTGTAGTGATTTTTTTAAAAATATATATATATTTATGTTTGTCTTTGCTGTTCTTCTTAACTTCTAATCTTCACTGTAAATTTAAACTTGATTTAGTGAATGCTTTACTGACAATGATTTTAGGAGTGGATTCTGGGACCTCTAAAGTAACAATATCTTTAAATCTATGCTCAATGAATGTCTAAATGGCAATAAAACTGGATTCTGTGACTTTCAAAATGACTATCTTTAAACCTGTACTCAGTGAATGTTTGTAGGTTCCTAATTAAAGTTTCAAAGTTGAGTTCAATTGATATTCGATTGGTCATTATTTTAAAATTGAGAGGATAAAAAGATGACATTGATCCTAAGGTTAAATAGAATAGATGCCTATGTGACAATGATTATTAAAGTTTTGCTCAGTGTAAGCAATTGAGAGTGATTTTGCATCTATGTTCACGTAGTTCCTAGATTGGAGTAACACAAATATAGAGATCACTGATTATCTAACTATGAAAAATCTTAAGGTTAACATCTTGTTGAAGTGATTTTAATTAAAGCCCAGTTTAATGAACTTCTGATTTGCACAATCTTAAAGTCGAGCTCAGTGTATGTCTACTTGACAGTTACTTCTAAGTTCAGTTCAGCAAATGTCTAAATGAAAGTTGTTTTTATAGGTGGGTTCAGTATATATCTAATTTACTGTGATTTTAAACTTAAGTTTAGTTAATTTCTAACTGGCATTGCATTTAGTACGAGTTCAGGAAATGCCTGATTAACATTAGTTTTATAGATGAGTTTACGTATCTTTTCATGGTGATCTTAAAGCCGAATTTAGTAAATATGTGATGGACAATGAATATTAGAAGGAGTTTAGTAAATGTGTGATTGACAGTGATTATTTAAATTATTGGTTCAATGAATGTCTGATGTTAATGAGTTTAAAGTTAAGTTCAATGAAATGTCCAGTTAAGAGTGATTTCAAATATAGTGTATTCTATGGTATTCTATTTGTAAGTTATGTAATGGTAATATTTTCCTTTATATATAGATTTAACCTTGCTGGAATTATTGTTTGTATTGTAAGTTGGATTAATTAATTTGTAGATATAGGCTCACTGACATTTCTTATGTAAGGATGAATAATAATATTTATTTTGTTTATCTACACTTTGTCTTAGTAATGTTATAATTTGTGAGGTAAACCACGGCAATCACTAGAAGGAAAACTTGTGCTTCATGTATGAAATTTTTTTTTTTTATATGTCATTTTGTATTTGACTGCACAAAATTTATAACACCTAAAGACATTGCTGTGTATTTAAAGTAATTAAAACAGTTAAATATGCTGCCAATACTACTAGTTTAAGAGGTTAGGTATATAGAGATCTGAATGAATTTGATGGGTGTGCGGGGAATCTTATTGACAGTAAGGCTAAACCTAAGTGGGTTAAACCTATTCCACAACACGTGATACACATCAATCACCTCTAGTTCAAAAGACACTTTTAATCAAATGATCTGATCAGAAATGGCAAACTGATCAACTTAGCTAGTAAGACACCAGATTATTGGAGACAAGTATTAGAATTCGACAGAGTGGCAATACCAGTACTTCAAGTGTCTATAAATAAATGAAGAAATTCACACACAAAACTTTATCTCATAAACATGAAATGAGGATCTGAAGAATGACAGATCCATTCCCTAAATACCTTTCTCTTTGCAATGTGTAGTACTATCTACACCCACCCCTCTCTCATACATATGGTGATGTCGTCCATACTTCTCTACTCTTAATTTCATTTTTGTTTGTTTGTTTTGCTTTAGTGCAAAGTCAAGTTAGTCTATCTGCTGTGTCCACCATGGGGAATTGAACCCTAGATTTTAGAGTAGTAAGTCCATAAACTTACTGCTGTCCCCTTGGGTGACTTCATTTTTGTATAGTTTAAATTAATGAAGTTTAAAAAACTTCCCATGCATGCACACATGTTACTCTTTTAATTATTTAGATATCTAATCCTGCTGGACTTATCATTTACAAGCTACATATAATGGTATATTTCACTGTTAATTTGTGTATGTTGTTAATCTTTCTAAGTTTTCATACAAGTTTTTTTGCATGTAGATGCAACATCTCAGTGCAAGTTTATTACCTTACAAATTCTCAATTTTAGACAGAGGTTACATGCTACAGTGATTGTTCCTTAAGACATACATGCTTGAGTGCAGCTTTATTTTTGTGTGATACCTAAACTGAGGTCAGATGCTTTTCCTTCAGGGTAATACAGAACATGTACAAGTTAGTATGAGTTGGGGTCTTATCTTCCTTGAATATATTTACTTGGAATAATCATTGACATAGGCAAGGATTGTGGGATACCACACTGTAGAACCCTGGTCTGACTTGAAAGACCAGTATATTTATTATTCTTGCTTCTGTCTTCATTTGGTAAGCCATGTTCTGTTATCCTGCTTTCTTACCCCAGCAGCAAAAGTAAGCTCCAATTTACATTGTATGAATACAGACTTAATTTATTACTGAGTTGTACCCTTGTATTTATTTATACTTTCTTTGATATCTGAGTTTGAAATCTTTCTCTGCATAACATCCAGAACCTGAATTTTGTGGAGACTTGTAACTATCTGTTGCATATCAATTTACCTAAATACCAGTATCACATTGTAACTTTATAGTTAAGTGAAAGCTCTAGGCCTGATGGTGTTATCATTTGTCAGATTATACAGAAAATTAAAATTGAAAAAGAGAATATAGAAAATAACTGAAAAAAGGTAAAAAATGTAAGGTAGCATAATTACAAAAATATTAAATATGATGAACTAACACTACATGAGAACTAACTTTAAGTTTCAAAATTTGTAGACATTCTGACTCTAATTTTTAAATTTTGATATACTAGTTTGTGAAAAGTTCAAAAAGGGTAAAATTACTGTAGATATTTCTTTTTAAAGTCCTTTTTTCCTGTGCAGTTAACACTTGTAAATTTAATGGTAAATGTTAATATTTATCTCTAGGGTTTAGCCTTGCTGATTCTACCATTTCTTCCGGCTTCGAACTTGTTCTTTCCAGTAGGTTTTGTGGTAGCTGAACGAGTTCTTTACACTCCTAGCATGGGGTTGTGTTTGCTGGTTGCATATGGATGGCATCTCTTAGTGGAAAGGATGTAAGTAAATGTTTTTTGTTTTTTTAGGAAGAATAACATATTTAACCCAAATTACTATAACTTTGTTTGCACATATAGGAAAAAAAATTAAGTTTAATTAACAAGTAACATGTCATTATACTGACATATTAGACTTATGTTTTATGTAAAATATTTTTTTTGTATAAGAATAACTAATTGTTTTTCAAATATTAATTTGTGTTGTCCATCTAATTTAAAAAAAACACAAAAAACTTGTAGCAAAAATTGATATTTTTAATATTACACTTTAAAAATTCTTTTTCTGGCACAACTGAAGAATATGTGGTGTGACTTTTGTTAGCTTGAAGGGAAGAAAATACTGTTGCGTCATCGAGATCAAGGGACAATTCTCAAGCCCTCTTGTTTCTGAAACTATCCCGTATCTTG